ACACAAGTAGCCTTCCTCAGGTGAAGAAACAGGACTGTCCGTCCAGAAGACAGCGCTTGAGTGAACACTGCCAAGCATGGACAGCGTCTTTTAAGCTGTGTGGGAAGAACAGAGCGCCTTGACAAAGGAGTTAACATATAAATTAGCATGTTAGTATGAGGGACAAGCTTGTGTTCAGACGGACGAGTCCATCTATGTTCGTCTATGGATACGATATTATACCATGTAGTTTAGATAGGAAGGTATAATATTGAATAGTAGTCCAGTTTATAGCATAGTTAGAACGCAACACAGGACAGAGCAGCGTACCGTGGCTGTTTCCCCCCCCCCCCCCCTCCTCCGTTCCGAACATAGATGGACTCGTCCGTCTGAACACAAGCTTGTCCCTCATACTAACATGCTAATTTATGTTAACTCCTTTGTCAAGGCGCTCTGTTCTTCCCACACAGCTAAAAAGACGGTGTCCATGCTTGGCAGTGTTCACTCAAGCGCTGTCTTCTGGACAGTCCTGTTTCTTCACCTGAGGAAGGCTACTTGTGTTGTGGCCGAAACGTCGTGAGAATTTTCTTTTATTATGTTTTTTTTATTTTATTTCCATTCTACGTGACTTTACTGAAAGAACCAAGAAGAGCAATAATACAGACAGTACTTTTAGACAATGGACAGCTATTCAAATGCATATGAGCCGGCGGTAAGGGTTGTTTAATGGAAATAAAATGCAAAACCTTCGACTATACCCACGCAGAACTGTCATCTAATTCTGAAGACAGTTCAGTATGTAGCATGTGATGTTAGTGCAACATTTGGAAAGTGCAGTGATGTCCTGGAACATTTTACCATTTAATTTCATCCTTACTCACTCCCAATTTTCAGCTTTGAGACAAAATGATGTTATCATTGCTGTGCGATGATATATTTCTCATGCAACTGTTCCCAGCACCACGATCAGTCATTGATGTATCTGTGTTGATCATTAAATCCCACATTACGTTATGGTCAACGATTTTGCACCTTGATGGGCACTAATGCAATTGCCTTGTAACCACAAGGCTCATTGCACGTAAAGTAGCCCTTGATCATTAAACATTCATGAAACGCTTTACAAAAAGCCACAGTTTGCATTTGCACATTTTAACACATTGTAGGACTACACGAATCCTTGTAGAGGTTGGAGTATGTGGAATATAATCAATAAAAACAAGAGTCTACAAGTAAAGGATTATAAACCTCATAAAATAGTGCACAATCCAGTTTAAAAATATATAACCCAGGGGGATTTGGCCATTATTGTTTTTCAGAACAGATATTGAATCATTCACAGAACAAGTGTTCAGATCGCAAGAATACAGTATAATCGTGGAACAATAAATACAAATGATACAAATGACTTCGAGTAAAGACAAAATTAGAAATCAAATCAGTATTCTTCCAAGCAAAACAAACTTGTAAAATATGTGTTTCTTGGGAGCAATCCATCACCCGACTCAAGAGCCGCATGGCTCACAGGGCTATACCTAATAAATGAAACTTGAACTTGAACATTAAGGTAACAATTTTATGCTCTCAATAAACAATCCTTTAGAAAATATATTTAAATATCCATTTGTAAAAGCATTTAAATCCAACTGTGTCTAAAAATGCTACGCAAGAAGATGTTAAGTTTAAAGGTGAACAACTTACCAGACCAATCAGATGAGTAAAAGTATATAACAGAGTATTTATTTCAATAACTGAGTAAGATAAAGCGTCCTTTAAATGATTTACCTGTCATGAATATAATCTTCTTACTCATATGTGAGGGTGATCAACTCACACTTAATTTACAAACAAGATTCAATTAATAACTGGCAATAGTTTATTTTAAAAAAAATATTACAAGGAAAATGCTTTAAATTATTTATGAATTCCAATGTTGCGAAATCCATGGCCGTAATTCAGCATTGCAAACATATCAAACTAGTACATTTTTATGTTTTCCCCCCCGTATCCCACACTCAGCTTCTCACTTCTAGGCTAGCCCAATTCCCCCCTCAGCTTCACGTCCTCTTCCCCTAGAGCTCACGCAGCCCCCCGCTTCCCATACCCCCCCCCTCTCTCTCTCCCCCTTTGCCTCACCCTTTCTTACCTATATAACCTCTTGCCACGGCAGCTCTCTCGCCTACTTCAGCATTTTCATGCTATGGTTGTTCCACCTGATGAAGATTGCTTGTGTTGCGATCGAAACGTCGTGATTTGTCTTATTTTATTTTATTTCTACCGACGTGACTTTACCGACAGAACCAAAGAGTATGGATTCCTGCAGTCACGAAAGCTTCAAATTAAGATATCAAACGTATCACGTACAATTTTCAAACTTAACTGTTGTGTCAGAAAAAACAACCAAATGAAAGAGAGAGACTTCCAACTCAATACCGACACGGTTTTGGGTTGCAAGCCATCGCGTACAAACGGCTTGCTGGCTGGGAACGAAAGTAAACAGATATTCGGGAGGCCACACTGCCACCTGAAACGTCCATTTAGCATCTGTCAACAGATACGTTTTAAATGCAGCACCATTATAGCTTGTTGGCATCGTTAACCTGCATCACCAAAATTATGAGACCAATCTGGCATAAAACAAAAGGATTAAGGCATATAGATTGCAGCACCAGGGTCTCACAATGCACACATAGCACATGCCCACTCACATCCACTCAAAATATGTCTCGATCATTGACCTCTTGAAGCATGAAATCACCAATTTTTATTACATTTCTTTTGCTGCTGATACCTACTTGAGGCTCGCCAAGCCACCGAGAATTGAGATAGATTCAGCAATGGAGCAAATATTAATGTCTGGAGCATGCTAAACTCAATTAGTAATTAAACTATATTGATTGGGCAACACTGATAGAACCAATGACACTGTCAATTTAAAATGCGATGGAGGCAGTGCACCGCTGACATATACAGTGCTGACAACATTACAGGACCACAACAAACACCCCAAACAAGTACAGTCAATATATTTAAATACTTTTAGCATTATTCTTATTTTGTAACATTCATATACCCTACGGATAACTCCGGTAGTGGCTTCATGGTGTCAGTCTGCGATGCCTCTGGAAAATGATTGGAGTGAGCAATGATTTCAAGTGTGGTCTATAGCTTGCGATTGTTGTCCGCATCGTTATGTCATCTGTCTTCTTCCAGAGGTGTACGAGATGACTGAATCAGCCATGTGATATTCTGAATCGACTCAATGCAGACCAGAGTTTCCAGGCTAGGGTTTAAACCAGGAAGTTATTTCGTCAAATGGGAATAATAATTATCCCAGAGTTACTTCCAGTGTGCGTTAGTAGTGAAATAGATATGATAAGCAACAAGAAATCTGTGTATTTAATATGATAAAACAGGACTACTGATTGGAATACATTTTATGGAGGTATTGTTCTAAATATAGCAGATGCAAAGGCAATTACTTATTTGTCGGGATTTTTGGTTGGGGTATTTTAAATATTTGAATGCAGCATATATACATTGTCCTTGAAACTGATTGGTCCACACCATATATTATCAGAGTATGTTTTTTGTTTGCATTTTGACCACAAGCATTGTGGTTAATGCAGATATGATTCCTTGTAAAAGGTTTCAGTTTTGGTGTTTTAACATCTTAACACCTGTTTTGTTGCCAGAAAAAAGGGTAAAAACCTATTATCATGATTGTCTGCTGTTATAGTTTTCATCTATTATTATATTTCATCTTAAATATCCTCCATTTGGGGATATTTAACTGCAGTAGGCCATATTCTGTTAACATTACAAGGTGTGTTGGCAAAAGGTAAAGTGTGGAGTGCTATGATTTTGAAATGAGGCAATTTAAGAGGTCATCACAGCACATGCCATTAATGCCACCACACCTCACCATGACTTAATTCCTTAGAACCAAGCAAATATGAAACATGAAATAACCATACTCTTTGGTTCTTTCGGTAAAGTCTCGTAGGTATAAAATAAAATAAAAATAAAGTATTATAAAAATAAAATGATAATAAATAAATAGTTACATTGGGGAAACGAAACAACATGTCTTGGACCGTGTTCGTGAACACAAGGCAGATCTGAAACACGGTAGGAACAATACCTCTGTCGTTGCCGATCATTGTTTTAAACTGAGCAATGATTAGAAGGACGTTATTAACCAGAGTCTTAACTGACTGTGATGTTTCCCTCCTACTGCCTATGTCAGCTGTTTTTTCCGACTCTCTATGTGTCTTTCTCTCTCTCTGTGCATCTCTCTTCGATCTCTACTCCAGTGACCCGGGTGGTGCTGCGGGGTCCACTTTCTGCCCCGCCTCCTCCCCCCACCTTCTCTCTCCCCCCTACTGCCAAGGCCTATATAACCTCCTGCCACGGCAGATCTCTCGCCTACTTCAGCAGTTTTTTCTTGCTATGGTTGTCCCATCTGATGACAATTGCTTGTGTTGCGATCGAAACGTCGTGATCTATTATTATTTTTCTACCTACGTGACTTTACCGAAAGAACCAAAGAGTATAGAAAATGGAGTGCCAGGCGAAAACAAACTCATACGAGTAAACCACTGCAGAGTAAACTTATCAGACATCTATTTGCTGTACTACTTCCTGTTGTTGCTCAGGAAGTGGCTGAACATAGCGCATGGAGAGACAAAAGCGAGAGAGCATATTGCTGTCCATATAATCCCCTAATACACCGTGTCAGCCATAGCAGGTGTTCGATAAAATTATAAACTGGAAAGCATTGCCTTTGTTTATCCACACAAATCGCATGAACCTGGTCCCTGCATTAACATCTTAGTCTATACATAAACGTCACAGAGTTTTACTTTACTTCTTTGCCATTTAGAGGTCTTCCAGCTCTCCAAAGTGTTTTCGGGTTGCGCCATGCGTGCAGCCTAAACATGGCATTCGAAAGCTATACAGGGCAACCGTCAAAACCTCCGTAGGTCTGCCGTTTCACCCACTGTGGTGTCGTTAATTACCTGTGCCGCCGTTCTGGGCCGTGATCTGCCGCAGCCGGCGACGGTGCGCGTTGCCATTGAAGTGCATCTGCACCTGACCCTCGGAGTTGAGCTGCAAGTTGCACACCGTGCACAGAGCGTAGCAGCCTGAGGGACGCCACGTGCACACCTCCTGTTCACCGTCCTGGTCGCCAGCACCATTCCCGGGAGCGTCTTCGATTAACTGGGCAGCGAGTGCCATCTCCTCGGTGAGCCCGTGCACTTCAAGCGGCAGCGACGAGTCCGAGGCTGCTGTCGTGAAGCCTTCGTCGGTCTCCATCGGTTGGTCACAGCTGCCTGTTTGAACAACGTTCATGCCGTTTATGGGACTTTCAAGAGGACAATAATTGTATTTCAGATATAAACAAAAACTTTTATGGTAGGGAATTCCTTTACAGCAAGTGGACTGGAAATAAAGTCAAGCAAGTGAGCTTCTTTACTATTTCAAGTAAATGCTTTTCCAGTTGCATGTAAAAAATTAAAATACAAATATTTGCTTATGTATAAGTTTCCATGTCATAATAATGATCAGCCATGATGTATCAGCTGCTGAATGAAGTGCCTCACACATTACTATCCTTCATGGTGTTGTGATGCCATAATTTATTTTGCTCCTGCAGATGACTAGATTTCATTGCTCCTTGTCTGCAAATGGTCATCCTCTCAGGCGCATCCCCTCCTTCAGCTGCTATTCTGTCACCAGTCTAGTCGTCCACTGGTAATCAATCAACCCTTCCAGTGATATCTCCTGCCCAAGTCCACTTTTTTCCCTTTTTTCTCTAATCCAATTTCCACAACTCTTCTATTGTCGCAGTGAGTAGTCTTGGTGAGAGTATATCTAATTATTTGAATACATGTTCCCATTTGTATATTTTTTTACTTTCATACAATCTTAGTGGAACTGTTCCATATTAAAACATTGGTTTTGATGTTTATGTATAATATTTTTGAATTAATGCATTGGTTGGTTTGTTATCGTGATTTAATTATTATACTTGTTTACCTAGGAAAGCCGCTCAATGCATTTTTCAGGAGGGGCCTGCCAAATTTTTGCACCGGGGGTGATGTTTGCAATGTACAGTAGATCCAAATTGAGCAATTTACAAGTCACGTTTCAAATTTGCCAATTTTGACAAATTTGAAACACGATGCTGGCCCACAATGGCCTACTCTCGCTAATGACATCACGGGATCAAATTGTGTCCAACATGAAGCAGATGGAAAGTATGTTGTATCTTTAATACAACCACCATATTGATCAGGGTGGCTGCTAGCTGGAGTTAGTTGATACAGCAGCTATAATATTTATTCTAGTATGAGTTGCGTTTATTGTTTGATACTGTAGTTGTATTTGTTTGTATCTTGGCAGTTCATATGCCGTATTACTACAGCAATTATCACTGCAGCAGCAATAATAGTATAATAGCAATAAGCCAACGTTGTAGTGGCTGAAAAGAGCTCTCAGTCTGTGTAAGGCAGAAACATTCCTTTCGTATTTCTGAAAGCAACAATTGCAGAATTCAAATAACCATAAATATCTGACACACATGTCACATATCAAGCTGGGGAAAACATGATAGTGTGTCACATCTTTTTCATAAGCAAGGACCATATCTACACGACCATATCTACACGAGGGAAAGTGATGAGAGGCGTCTCCATAGTCCATTTAGTTTCCTCCTGCAGTACCAGTGTAATGTGATATTTGTGCGGTTGAATTCCTATTTTATGAAAAAAAAACCTGCCAGTCTACCACTGTTGCAAGTGGAAAATTGGGCTGTACTGTAACAGTGCTGGTTTGGTGAAACTTGAAGGGCATTCATTTGCACAGCATGCCTCTCTTAATTCGGAAGAAATATACTCCACCTGGCCATTCACCAAAATTGATCAGGCCATCTGATCCCTTGAACTAGCAAAAGATTGATTAGGTATGAGGATAATACGAACTCTTGACAATATTTACCTGAATAATGAGATTCATAAACACCTACAACTGCTACTTTTCATTTATAAATTAAATTAATATGGGTCCTTTCAAAGCAAACAGGTAAGTTACACAAAACGTGTCTATACTTTGAGATTACAGTTAGTGTAAAAAGAGAGCTGACCGTATTTATAGTAAAACTAGCAGTAAGTACCCGGCGTTGCCCGGGCGAAAAAGGCAGACACACACATGGACTTACACACAGACATCGACCCACACACATAGAAACACATTGACTTAGACACACACACACAATATGGTTAAACCCAGGATGGATCGTTAGCAGGCCAGCCTAAATGTTTCTAACCGGCGAAGATGTTCCATTAGGGGGGTGCACGTTTCGCAAGCGTAGAGAAGGGAGAGAATTACCGTGGCCGAGAAGACCTGAAGGTTCATGCGGAGCAAGAGACCAGGTAGTTTCCACACAGCATAACGAAACCGATGAAAAGATAATGGTGTTCGACTGATTTGGAGTGAAACATCTGCTGTTAAACCGGAGCCGGTCATGAGCACACTGGCCAGGTATGGAATCGCTCAAATCTTTCCACAACTGTCGTATTACCAATTGTGAGTTGTGGGGGTGGATTGTCCGATGGTACAAAATACCCAGGCAGGTGCTTAGTTTTGGTGGGGCTGATGGTAAGGCCCCACCTCTTACTGGCAAGCTCCAGGTTCAGCAGCGTTGCCTCCAACTCCTCCTCTGAGTGAGCAGCAATCATCCAAAGCATCGGCATACATAACATGGTTGAGCAATAGGGAGCCATCTCTTGACCGCACCCGGGCATCGATCAGCCTCCCATTGTATCTGTACCATATGGTAATTCCTCTGGTACAGCCATTGAAGGCTTCACGAACTACGTGGTCAAAAGATATGTTAAATAATGTGGGAGCCAGAGGACATTCCTGTCACACCCCAAGGTGTAGAGGGAATGGCTCTGACTGACGGCCACGTAGTTTGACGCGGGGCCGCTCACCATAATGAAGGTCCTTAAGGATCGTGAGCAAAGGGTGAGGGACTCCGAACGCATGAAAAACAACCCAGAGGCCAGGCATACTGATGGTATCATAGGCCTTGATCAGGTCAATAAAGCGCATACATTCACTCACACGCACACATGGACCTACAGACACGCAAATAAATGGACTTACACTGACTCACATGGATCCACGCACACAAAACGACTAACACACACGCCCATGGACTGACACACACAGACATATCGACTGACACACACAAACACATAGACTTACACACACACATGGACTCACACACGCATTAGACATCCACTTTAGATACACACACATGGAGTTACACACACATATATCGACGTACACACATACAGCGACTCTCACACACACATCGACTCACACACAGACATACGTGGACTCACACACACATTGACGTAAAGATACACACATATCGACTAAGACACACACATGGACTTACACACACACACATACATAGACTGACACACATTGCCCTACACACACATACACATATGGACTGTGACACACAGACATCTACTTTAGATACACACACAAATGGATCAACACACATATTGACTCACACGCATTGACTTACACACACACATCGACTGACACACACACATGTATGGACTTACACACACATATGGACTAACACACACATATGGACTGACACACATACACATCTACGTACACACATAGACACACTCAGATGGAGCCATGCACACACATCGACTAACACACACACACATGGACTAACACACACAGCGACTGATACGCACACAAATGGACTGACACGCACACTTGGACTGACACACAAACACTTTGACATACACACACACATCGGGCGTTGTCCGTTCGAAAAAGACAAGACACACACATGGACTTAAACACACGCATGGACCTACACGCACACACATATGGACTCAAACACACACACATATTGACTCACACACACACACATCGACGTGCACAGCAATCCCGATGATGGCCACAGCTATCAGTATAGCAGTACTACATATGAGTAAATAGCATGACATGAGCAATCGAAACAATATAAATGCATTGAAGAAATAAGCAGAAATAAGTGTAAATTAAAGAGCAGCAGTACGCACAGGTAAGTTGAGAAGCAGGCTACAGTCTAGATTATAGACTGGCAGTACGCCGACTCAATGACATGAGCATTGCTACAGTCGACATAAAAAGCTGGCAATACGTGCAGCAGCTGAAAAAGCAGAATACAGTCGACATGAAAGGCTGGCAGTACACTGAGTGAGGTAAAGAAGCAGGCAACAGATTATAGACTAGCATACATTCATAATGGTCAAAAGGAAAATTCGCAGCGTAGATAATAGAGTGCCAGTGAACTTTAATTAATTATCAGCAGGAAGCAGGCCACATCACAGACTGGCAGTAGACCATCGCAGCGTCATAAAAGCACAGTTAAAAAAGGGAATATTTAGCAACCTAATAATAAAAAAATAGTTTTGTGCACACAAACATTATTATTGTAATATCTGCCAACGTATTTGTTTAAAATTAGCAAACAATAATACTACAATAATGCTATCTAAGCGCTGTAATAATATTATCAATAGACTTTATAACAGTAACTACACGCATCGTGTTGGGGGGGCGGGGCGAAGAGGTCATCAGACTGTGAAGAAATAGTCGCAGCGTTATGTGTACATTTATTGCATGTTAAATGCGTGACAAAAATGTCCCCTGTGAGCTCGACCGAACGCGCATCACTTGGCAGGGTCCGCCCCCCACGCAATTGGCGTGAAAGTTGATACGGTCGATGTCGTGCAATAAATAAATAAAAATAACAAAATCCCACTAAATCGCATATTTAACTCATTTAAAGGTGACGGACATGAAAAATGAATAGCCTATTCCCACCGCGGGACTTAGGGCGTGCTGGCTGGAAAACATTTTTCAATTAAAGCCCACCGTTCAAGAGCCAAATCCCTCGCAAGCTCGCGCGCGGAGACTTTTATATATAAGACTAGCGGGAGGTACCCGGCGTAGCCCTGGTGTAAAATATATTTTAAAACTTCTCTTAAAAACCCTACATATACACAGATATTAAGATATTGTGAAAGCCCGGTGGGCCATTTGTCCATTTGTCCACCAAAAAATTATAAGAGGCTTGCACAAGTCGAAAAAATTATCGAAAGTGTGGGGTAAATAGTTGATCTACCCCCAAGTAGGTATATATACCTACACACCCTACATACAACAGAGTAAGTAGTATCTATTGACTCTGTAGTTGTATCTACTGACTGTACAGTAGTATCTACTGAGCCAGTAGTAGCTACTGACTGTG